ATAATGTATATGCATATATAAATATATACATAGTTTACTATATAAAATATAACAAAACTGACAATGAATAAGTAGTTTCAAAAATTTAAATATTATAATGCTTTGTACATACAGGGATCAAAATTTGATAAATAAATAATTTTTTTATTATTTTATTATATATATTTATTTAAAATGATGATATATTACAGATTAATAACAATTTTATTTATTGTCATTCCTTATATTATTATCTTCAATAGGATTCATATCAGACAGAAATTTATTAAATTGTTCCATAATATCCACAGATGATTTTCCAGTTTTATTTTCATAATCAGCACCAACAGACCATAATGTTTCTAGATCATATAATATTCGTGCAGACTTTGAAAAAACATGTAATGCTATATTACCTATAAAATAAACAATATAAATGTTAATTTTTTACTGTTTTATGAATACATAAAATATTATATGTATACGTACCTAAATCTAGAGCTACCCAATCCTTTGATTCTTGTCCTTCAATAACAGGTATTAAATCTGTTTTATGTCTTTTCAATTTGTATACTTTACGTATAAAAGTAGCAAGGGCTATCATATGTTTCTGTGATTTTCCTGTGACTACAACCAAGTAACTAACATATGATAGTTTAGGAGGAACTGTTACCACAAAAATATTTTGCGCCTTTTCTCTTTGCAACAATGACACCAAGTCTTCTATTTCAAATACTCCACTAACTCCACCTAAAAAATATTTTATTTTCATTGTCACTACAAATTCTCCTTTTCCATTTTTAAACAAATTGATATCTTCCACATTAAATATATTGAAGAAATAAATCTAACTATATAGCAATTTTATTTTAACTTACGTTCTAAATTTATTCCTTCATAAGGATCATAATATTCTTCTTCAGACTGCAAATCTTTTAACTGAATAGTTTTTTCTTTCTCACCAATATCGCGTATAATTTCTGAATCTTTATCATCAAAGACTTTGTAACTGGAACTCAATGAACCAGAAAGGTTATGTGAGGTATCATCTAAATTTTCGACATTTTTAAATTTATCATTCTTTTCTGTCGAAAAATGTTTAATTTGTTTTAAGTAAGAATATGTAATTGTATTATTTATACATGGTTTAAAATACTCGTAACATAATTTTCTTACTTCTAATATATTGGAAAACAACTGTTTACGCATCTTGCACGCGTTACAAGCAAGGTTATGTTTATAATTGTATGTAAAACTAGGTTTGGGTTTCTGTGTACAGGGTACTTCATATATGTATTAGTTTTTATAATCAATGGGACATATGTAACCATATGAGAAACAACTATGTAAAATGAATATTATAATGTAGATTAAAATGTATAATTTTTAATTTAATTTTTTTATAAAATTACAGTCTTAGGTTTAAGCGAATAGAATTGGATAAAAAAAGGAGCTCTTTGTATTATTTTTTTAATAAGGTTCGTTTAATCATACAAGACACGTACATTAATGAAACAGAACTCTCTGCACAAAGGTACTAGAAGTGTGTATCAAACTGTTGATATATCATTATTCAGGCTGATGAAACTTGATTGTGTTGCAACTGATGTTATGTGCATGGTCACAGCTGGAACAAATATTTGGTAAATTTAACATTTATTCTTAACAATAAAATGAAAGAAATGAATCTTTAATAGAAAAATTAAATAAAATAATGTTTATAAAGAATCTTTAGTTGTTTATTGTTAATACACTTCATATGTCTTTCTGAAACATAATTATTTAACATATAATATTATGCTTATATCTGATAAATAGAAATTGTCTATTTTTATTAGATATTTTATCGAATAAAAAATAGTTCTCTTTCTATGAAGATATTTATACAGTATATATTTGCATTCAATAAAATTATGAAGACTAACATAGTTAAATAGTAAAGCATATAACATATATACTTACAGAGATCGTTAATATAAAATTTATTTGGACCTCGCACGCATCTTCCTCCTTTTACGTTTTAGCCTGCGCATCCTCTTCTTACGCCACTGAAAATTGAAGGTAAACTTTAGTTAACCTCTTTTCGCCGAGCTTATTGTGATAACCATTTACCACTTTTTACAACAATAAGAGTTAAAAAAACAAATCCTTAAGTACTTAACCAATTGAATATTTAAACAAATTTTAAATACGTTAAAGAAGTTCTACTTTTATAGCAAAAATGATTCTATCTGTAACAATGTGTCAAGTATCCACGCACCTTGTAACCAAAAACAATGTACATTTAAGAAACAGATAATTACTAATTTATAACAAAAAATATTAGGATGAATTAAAAAATATTAATACAAACTAACCTTCGCTCTCATTTTAGATTTGTGAGATTTCTAGATTATTCTAGAATATCTCGATTTTTGCGGATTTCGTTCCCGCTGTCTCCTTCGGCTTCTAATGCCAATATGGAAGAGAAACGCTCGTTTCGACAGAACTCCGGAAACGTCGTTTCGTGTAGTTCGTCCGTTTGCCTCTAGAGGACGGAAAAATTGTATGTCATGAAAAGTTATTATATTAATCTAAATAATTTTAGATATATATAATAAAATAATTATAATATTTAATAAAATTTCGTAAAACGATAAATATAATTGTAGATTATTTCTTGTATTGTTGACATTTCAACATAACCCTTTATATTTTTTTCAAATAGTTATTTACGCGGGAAATTTCACGTTTATCTATTCGTGTTCACGTATTCTCGATTTCCCGCGTTTGAAGCACCTTCCCGCGAAAACTCACATTAGATTGCACTTGTTCGCGCGTATAAACGTGTTTTCCTGACGGTATTTTAATATGTATATAGACTACGTTATTTATATCTGAATTAAAAGAAGTGTCATTAATAAATTTGATATTATAAGTGTATCCAGAAAAACTCGTTTAAGGACTAAATTTTAAAAAGAACCGCTTGTAGGTTAATAGATAATGCGACAAATGAAGTTTGCTTTAAAAATTTCACTGCTGGATTAAGAAAGAGTTTTCTTCGAGAAGAGAAAATTGTTACATATTAATATCATTGAACTGAAATCTACATTAAAATGACAAATGTCCAAACGACGATTCCGTTTAATATACGAAAGAAGTGTTCGTTTTACGGGGTCAAAAATAACATTGTGAAAGAAGACTTTACTAATGCAACTGCTCGAGAAACTTCATATAAATATACGCCAACAGTGAAGAAACTAATTACCTTCAGTAGCAGTGAATCGGATTCCGATTCAGATGTAGAGAATTCGTTGGTGGAAGATAATGTGAAATTACATTCCAAACGTGCAGTTGTTGGAAGCTCTCGACGCGTACGAAAAGCTAGTGGTTCTGACAGTATGTTATTAGGACGTATTATTATTTTGAATTTTTTGATAACATATTAGGTCTATAACATTTTCTTTTGTATATGTTTCAGAGGATATCGACTCTACACCTCGTAAACAAAAAAGGATAGGGAAGGTTGAGCAAGTTTCACCTACAACACCTTCTACAATTTTAGACAAATTGCACTTAACATCTCTAGATAAGGAAGACAAATTAGCTCCTAAAAAATTATTTGGTTCAGAAAAGTACCGCAATGCTCGTCAAGCTTTACATAGTTCAGTACCTGAAACTTTACCTGGTAGAGAACCAGAATTAACTCAATTACAAGAATTTATGGAGGAACATCTGAAAAATGGAACATCCGCTTCCTTGTACATATCAGGACCTCCAGGAACTGGAAAAACAGCATGTCTTTCAAAACTTATGCTTGAGCCTGAGTTTAAAACAAAATTTAAAGTAGTTTATGTTAATTGTACAACCATGAAATCTGCTGTTACAATTTATGGGAAAATCATTCAGGAATTAGGTTTGTCTGTTCCAAAATCTGGAAAGAATAGTAAAATGCTTATTGAAAAATATCTAATTTCTAAGCATAAAATGTTGCTATTAATTTTGGATGAATTAGATCAGTTAGAAAGCAAAAACCAATCTGTTTTATATTCAATTTTTGAATGGCCATTGATACGTAATTCAAAATTACTTCTCATTGGTATTGCCAATGCCTTGGACTTGACAGATAGAGTATTACCCAGATTACAGGCTAGATGTGAATTAAAACCAAAATTAATGCATTTTCCACCATACACTAAACAACAAATTTATAATATAATACTTGAAAGGTTGAGTGAAGCTAAAGTATCAGATCTTTTTACTGGAACTGCAGTGCAAATGTTAGCTGGGAAAGTTGCTGCAGTTTCCGGAGATATTAGGAGAGCTTTGGATATAAGTAGAAGAGTAATAGAACTCGCAGAATCTCACAAATTAGTACAAGTTTTACAACCCACAAATGACAATGGTTTGTATTTTTATTTATTATGAAAGATAGTCATATTAGAAGATACAATTAAACAATGTATTTTCGTTATAGAAACAAATACTGGTAGTCCCAAAAAACATCAGTCTATAGCAGAAAAACCAGTTGATTTGAAAGAAGTTATTACTGTATTAAATGGAGTTTACGGAGGATCTCAAAATATTCAGAAAGAAGAAAGCACATTTCCTTTACAGCAGAAGTTGTTGTTATGTTCTCTTCTTTTGATTTTGAATAAAGGAAGAAATAAAGATGTGACAGTGGGAAGAGTGAGTGTGCGATTACATAAAATTAAATATATTTGTAAGTAAATGTTTAATTATAATGTATATAATTGTAACTCTAATAATTGTTGCAGTTGCATGAAGTATATAAAAAAGTTTGCAAGAAACGAAATATTCATGCTGTCGATGGTTCTGAATTCGTAAGTTTATGTTCATTGATAGAAACGAGAGGTATTTTAAAATTGGCGAGAAAAAAGGAACCCCGTTTGTCGAAAGTTAATTTAGAATGGGACCAAGAAGAATTGGATGCAGCTTTGCAAGACAGAAATATGATGGCAGAAATTATTAACGATGTATCTTGTTTGTAAATGCGTTTATAGAAGTTGTTAATGTTTTTAAGCTTTATCGAACATCAGGAGACGCAATATATTTTTATAGCTAAGCATGACGTCAGTTCTCTATATTAGTTTTTTAATTTATAGTAGTTTAAAACCATTCATGCAATATGAAAGTACTGTCCAAAGTTTTGTTACAGTATTTTATATTTCCATCGGAACGATTTTTCTATCGAAGTAAAATGTGTTTTTCTTTTGTATTTTATATCATGAGCATATTGTTGTATTTTACCTGTAATAAATGTATTGTTTTTAATCAAATTTATTATTTGTACTGAACCATGAAGATTAAAAAGTATATCAGATTGTTAGATTTTTTAAATTAATGTTACCCACATACAGTTTGTCATTGAAAACAATATTGTTACTTTTGTAAGTTTTCAAAACTTTTTAAAAAGCATCTGGTAATTTTGTGTAGTTAAGGCATGCGTGTAAGGATCTCTATGTAAATATGCGTCCGTTGAAAGTGCCATCTTCTGGCAAGCGTTAACATTCATAAAATAGTTTCGCATGACTGTGCTCTTGTTGACGGTTTGAGTGTAAAGATTCAATAATGTCTTCAGTGCTTGTACCTGAAATCCCTGCGCCAGGATTTTCTTTCGATCTATGTCAAAGGTAATCCATTCTTACAAACTTTATTATTGAAAAAATTTACATCAATGTATACGTACAATTCGAAAAGTGGAAAGTAATATTCCCGGGTACATAACCTCTTATGGATTAATACTGCTGTGTCATTTTTTAATTATTAGTTATATTTTCCAGTAAACTATAATAACAAATTCGATAACAAAATCAGCGTATTATTTACAATTAAAGGACTAAAAAATTTCATTTAATTTTATGTTATTGTAGAAATAATTTACTGATCAAGAAAGGATATCAAGCTCCAAAAGCTGTTAAAACAGGAACAACTATTGCTGGAGTTGTTTATAAGGATGGGGTCATACTTGGTGGTGATACAAGAGCAACAGAAGATACCATAGTAGCTGATAAAAATTGTAGTAAAATTCATTATCTTGCTGAAAATATGTAGTAAGTTTAACATTAAAATTAATTCTGTTGACTTGTAATTTTGCTTATAATATTAAATAATGGATAATTAATTAATTATTATTTTGAAGTTGCTGTGGTGCAGGGACTGCTGCTGATACTGAGATGACAACTCAGATGATAGCCAGTCAGTTGGAGTTACATCGTTTGAACACAGGTCGTGTGGTACCTGTTTGCACTGCCAATGCAATGATTAAACAATTATTATTCCGTTATCGAGGTCGCATTGGAGCAGCTTTGATATTAGGAGGTTGTGATTTAGATGGACCACATTTATATTGTATTTATCCTCATGGATCAGCAGACAAACATATGTATACCACTATGGGTTCTGGATCATTAGCTGCAATGGCTGTATTTGAAAGTAGATGGAAACCTGATATGAATGTAAGGATAAACGTAATAACATCAATGTGGTTTACTATTATATTGAATTAATATTTTCTTCAAATAATCATCAGTCCTAATAATCACAAAATTTGTTAAGAAGTGTTCTGTGCATATTTCATTTTTATGTAATAAATTTCTATTGTAATTTGCATATAGGAAGAGGAAGCTAAAGAACTTGTAGCGGATGCAATACGTGCTGGTGTATTCAATGATTTGGCTTCTGGTTCTAACGTTGATCTGTGCGTCATACGTAAGGGTTCCGTTGATTATTTGCGACCTTACGATATCGCTAATGTAAAAGGAGAACGTTCAATATCGTATCGATACAAGCGGGGTACCACTGCCATACTCAGCAAAACAGTTCATCCTATAATTATCGAAGAAGAAACTATTCGTAGAGTTACAGAGGAAGCAATGGATACTTCATCTTGAAATGTGCATTAGGTATTTCTAAGTATAAGCTCATGGTATGCTAATTTTTAACAACAGAGCCTTTTGGCCTTATGTTCTTTTGATTAATAAACTTAATTCCAAACAATAAAATTCAAGATGTATATTCTTATATTTTGATTATCTTATAATGACTATCATACAAACTTTATTATAACGGGGTAGAGATCTATAAGTTAAAAAAGGCCTGCAGATTGCTTCAATCTTTGCCTCTTCCAAGGAGGCAATTTTACAAATTCGTCTGGTTCCATTTTAAAAATGGCAATAAAGTTATCGAAAGTAAGGTGCATCTCTTTGCGAGCCACATCAACGCCGGGTGGTAAATTTTCTGGATCGTTTTTCAATATAGAAAGGGGATATTTCACGTAGCTATCAAAAACGCTCGATGACTTTGACGATATTTGCATCTTCGTTAATGGTTCTTTATCTTGCAATAGTGTATAAAACGTTTCAAACGATTTATAGTCCCTCAACAAATTGTAATTCCAATTGTCAAAGAGTCCTATGAATGTTGAAGGTTCAGCACCTGAAATAAAAGAGCAGAAAAATCATTAGAAGTTCACAAACATTTAACTTTTTATAAATGAACGATTTATGATACCTTGTTTAATTACAGAAATTGTAGTATTTCTATCTCGACTAGTTGGATGAGTATACAGGAACACCATTGCATCGTACACGCATTCCCTTAATGACTTAGGCGTTGAAGATTTCCCCATACAGATCCATATTACATTTCCAGCATCTAGCAACCAAATAGCTTCTGGAAGAAGGCAGTTCTGTCCAAATCCAAGAACCTCTTCTCCAACAAACGTATCTCCTTCGGTTAGGCAGTGATACAAATGTTTCTCAAGCTCCTCTACCATGTCGACAGTTTCTGTGCCATAAGTACCTTTACCTGAAGAGTACAATTTTTTAACATCTTTATCTAACAATTTTTGTTCTCTATTAGATTACATAACTAGTATCCGTACGCTGTAGCTATCATTTTACCTCCAAGCTCTACCCAGAAATCATTATCTTCCTTGTTCTCAATCATCAACAGTGCATTTCTAGGCGCAAGTCGTCTTGAAGCTTGTCGAGCGTCGCCTGTACTTTTACCGCCGCACCATACCACAGGCATATCCGAGAACAGAATGAAAACTCCACTAGAATCGAGGCTGTTAGATCGCAAAGGACGTTCGACTGCTTTCGATGAATAAGGCGTAGACCCAAAAACTCTGACAAGATACTTTTCCGGTGCTGCGAATAAAATAATTTAACGGTAAACTTTCGGATGAAACAAATGGTACAAGGTTTAGTATATTACTAACGAGAATCACGATGTCTTCCAGCCAGTATTTTCAATTTTCCATCATAAATTTGAAGCAAATGAGGTGGTTCTCTGCCTTGACACGCTTTCACTAGCTGAGCAGAACTGTCTTCTGACAGACGGCAAGCGACTTCTAAAGCAGCTTCTCGGTCTACCTTTATAGAATGAACTCCTTCCCAACAGTAAACCTATAATATTACTGTTTGTAAAATTCAGACGTAAGGTAAGAGATTACGTGAAATCTGTCCAAAATGTCTCGTTCTAATCTTTTTACATCAATTTTTAGTATGGGACTCCTTGTAACATTCCTACGATACGTACTATGCATTTGCTCTTGCGTCCTTGACCATATTTGTAACACATCACGTAACAAGCCTCCGCATAGTATATGCCTTTATCTTCAATTTGGACCATTCCTTCCTTTTCAGTTACTCTCCAAAGAGTCTTTTCACCGGATCCGTCATCAACTAATTGACATTCGGCGGCCATCCTGGGTCTTTCGTTCATGTAATCCGGCTCGAAGCTAGGCGGCAGGGAGAGCGGTCTGTTCTTTGATGGTTCCCAACCCCTAACAAGAGCCTTCATCTCTATTGGTTCGCTAGTTTCAATTGCTCTACCAACAGAGACACCGTTGCTATAGTTCTTCTTTTTCACGAATCCACGTGCGTTGCGCACAGCTTCCAGCTTTTCTCTGGCGTTAACTCCGTGTCCGACCCAAGCCCATACACCGGCCTCGCCGCGATCAATCAGATAAACAGACTCAGACGTGAGATCGGATTGTAGAATCGGTCCAGACTTCAGCTCTGCTACCTTGTATTTGCCGGATTGCTCACTGCACCTATATAGTTTAACGGGGGCCGGCGTGTTGATTCTGTGAGGACGATCTGGTTGAACCACCCTTGTAGATGGATCCAAAATGCTCGCGAATAGTTGCTTTTCATCGTCAGCCAGAGTCTGCTCGTAACCATCTTCCACGATGACGACACGTCCATTGTTGTTCTCTTTCTTCGTTTCTAAGACGGTTACCGCGTGTCGTTTATGCAGTGGATCTGATAACGATCCCAGCCATAGGAAAATGATGCCCCTGATTTAAAAGAAACGAAATAGATCATTATTACGCTAACTGCGAAAAAATGATCAGTTTTCTTCAACTTTATTTAGAGTTTTCTTTGAGTGGACTTAGAACATACTTGGACAGGACGTCTACGAGAATCACGTCGCGTGAACTGAAATGGTCCCAGTGTACTTTTTCGAGTTCCGTTAAGATAGGGATCGCCACACCGGTGACTCTGTGCAGTGTGCAAGAAGGCGGCTCGAAATGGAGCCTCTCGATAACGAAATGCTGCCGGAAGTACGCTAGAAACCTCGGACTTTCGCGGCCCTGCGCCTCTCGCAGAAGAATCGTGGCGGATATCTGGGAGTCCAGCTCCGCAGCGCGGAGGGCGGCTGCCCCGGAAATCGTCGAGTCGCACGCCGATCCAATCCAGAAATGAATGACACGTACTGCTGGAGCTGATTTCAGCTCCTTAACCTGTTTGAATAATTTTCGTTGGATTAATCATGTTAAATTGATTCGCCGGAGTGACAACCTTTATACCCAGCGTCTTTAAACACACATAACTTTAATTGAGAAAGAAAAACGACTGAATAGAAGATACTGTTCCTTTCTTCTCTTACCTTCTCTCTTTAGATTTACAGTTTTAAATAAATATTCTTTTTTATACTTTCTTTGTGAAATATCTTTTACCAACTTTTCTCGGTACAATGTTTTATTTGAAACGACTGAAGGGAATACCTTTTGCTTGAGAATTCAGAATAATATTCGTGATAAAAGGGCACGGTAGAAATTAACATATCACTAATGAAGAATAATTACCGGCATCCCAGGATAAGGGAGCGGACCGTCCTTCGGCGACACTGCATAGATAATGTATGCCAGCTCTGAGAGGAAGTATCCGATGTTACTTCCGGTGACGGCCGCGACCCGTAAACCCTATTGCATCGACATTAAAATGTAATTTCGTATTTTGTACTTTCACTCGTTGTGTTTCTTAATCCCTTGAACAGCCGCGCCGCATCTACAGGGTGGTCCGTTAATCGACGTCGCGACGAGGGTATAATTCCTTGTAAAGAAATAAGTTGATAGTTCAGAGTAAGATGTTCGTGAATGAAATTTTAGCCTTGAGAAATTCAACTATGAAGATTTCTCTTCAACACACGTATTCGTTGAACGGAAAGAAATTGTTATTTTATTTGAAGAATTGTCTTCTCGCCGGTTTCAATGTTGAAAGCGGACCATCCTGTGACATTTTTTAATAAGGCGAAAGAAAGATCAGTAGAAAATTACCTCGATTTTCCAAACACGGAACGTAGTGCTGTTCTTCGGGACATTCTTGAAGATATCGCCGTTGGAGTCGTCAGAACGGCAGCTCCTATCGTCCTGCATCGAATCAACAGAACTCTCTAAGAAAATCATCGATCATCCACGGGTTTCGTTGAGTCACACGCGCGCGACTTATTGTTAGCGACGAATGCTTTTCTTTGCTTCGATTAAGCTTTCCGCGAACTTCCACGGGTTTTATATACCATTCACCTCCCTTTATGCTCTCATAAAAGCCGATCCGTATCGTTATTATCAGGAAACTTTAATTCCAGGGCTTTGAAGCTCCAATTAACAGGCGCGATATCGGACGAAAAGGAATAAAGGGGAAAAGAAGAAAACCGAAACAATCGCGGAGGGGAAAGGGCAATTAACGAAATTATACGGTCGATTATTCTCAGCGTGGAACGGTACTTTTCAGTGGACGCGCGAGAACGAACTCAGCGAACGGTTCTTTTCAATTTTCAAAAGATCGCATCGTCGAAAGTGTAATACCGTTACCACGGTTTCCGGAAACTGTCACTCTTCCCATGCTTTCCCTCGAGTTTATCCTTTCTGTTTTTTCTATTTCTCTCTTTTTTTCCCCCCTTTTTCTCTAGTACGCACCGTCTCTTCGAATCTCGCCGATAATTCCGACATTTGTCGTTTCCAGTCCACGGGATCCTCGGGATCGTGTCTTTTCAGGATTCCTTCGGGTAACACTAGAATCGCGTCGGGTCCGATTGATTTTCCGTATTAAATTGAACGAGCACCGGTTCGATCCTTTCTGATCGTGCCCAGCCTCGCGGCACGATCGCGCGCGCATGAATTTCGCAACGGAGAAACGCGATCGGTGCTCGCACGCCACGCTCGCCGGCAGAAAACTAGGGTATGGGAACTCGCGAGAGCGAAGTCCTCCGGAGGACTTAATCACAGGTGATCCACGATCCTACGATAGAGCGGTGCTCGAGTCGCGGTCCCAACGTTGCCCCGATATTCGCCAGAGTAATTGTTTAGCGTTTATGTAAATTTTTAATCGTTGATAAAGGCTGCTATTTATAGTTACTGCTGACTCATCGTAGTAAAGAATAATGAAAAAAGAATTAAACAAACCTAAAATGTTCCTTTATGTTCCCTGACATTGAGTTGTAGGTGCTATTCAATGATATTGAAAGAATTTGACAACAACGATCATACTATTATTGTACTAAATACATTGTATATGTACATTCTACTAAATACAATAATTATCATTACGATCAAATTGTATGGTTATATTCGAGAAACGGGAAAATATGGAAACTTCATAGTTTCTCTCGTTTAGGAAATGTGAAGCGTCGATCGAGACTATTTCTAATCAATGTCAGAGACATCGAATCGGATGACATTTGTTATAAACTTTTATTAGAATAAGATTTTAATTTATCGCTTTTAAAGTGTTAGTAAAATAAAATTTCGATAAAGCTTCAAAACGTAATAGTAATTGCCTTGACACGCGTCCACGCGACGCATTCCATTGTTACCGAACCGCGACTGTGTACACTGCGCGAGTATACAATTCCAAAAAGAATCACCGCCTTATCGAAAATTAATTGCCGTGTTAGTTCTACGAATGTCGATGTTTCCTTGTAACAGGATGTTCGGAATAAGTGTTACGGAGAAACGGGCGTGTATGTGCGTGCGTGTGTGGTGTGTGCGTGTGTGGTGTGTGCGTGCGTGG